ACCTCCAGTGATCTGCCTACCTCGGCCTCCCAAAGTGCTGGGATTACAGGTGTGAACCACTGCACCCAGTCACCCCCATCACCTCTTAAAGGCCCCACCTCTCACTGAAGATTAAGTTTTAACGCGAGTTTTGGAGGGGACAAACATTTAAACCATAGCGGACATTTTGCACCCACACATTTCAAGATAACAATGCAGCACAGGGTTATAAAGAGGCACAAATGTCTCTCTTCCCTTCGGGGGGCTGCAGTCTAATATGCGAAGCCAGTGTAGCTTGGGCGTCATTGTTCAGTGGGACTTTTCACGCCTATATTCCACTGCACACACTCGTCACAGACTCAGACGTGAGTTTGACATCACCCTCAACTTCAGCATTGTAAAATTTGGCGTAATCCTGAGTTTTTTTCACCACTCTTTACTCAGGGTGCTGGCAACACTTCATCCACCTAGCCCGGTCCCTAAAGGGAGCAGTGCTTGAGGAAGAAGCACTCAACGCAGGAGGAATCTGAGGGACACTCCAGACCGCTGCAGCTGCAGAGCCAGCGGGGACCATGCTTGTGCATCCTCAGCGCTCTGGCCCTCTGGCCAGAAACTCACCTCCTCTCATCTTAGCTCTGTCACTCAAATGTGCTGCAGGACTCATCTTTGAATGATGAGCTCAAAGCGGTGGGAGCTGCCAGTGTCGGCAGCTGATGTGGTGAGGCGGCTGCCAGGCAAGGCTTGGGGCTCTGAAATGGATTCTGAACACGGCTCTGTGCTGGGCGGTCAGCTTTACTCTCCTAAAACATCAAATCTCAGTGTTCTTCAGTTGGAGACATCCTGAACCTGTCACAGCACGTCGGCGCAAAGGAAACCACATGAAAAAAACCTCCCTTTAACCGAGGCTGGGCTGGGCTGAGTTGTTTGTTTGTTTTGTGTGTTGTTTTCTTTTAATGCTTTTCAGGATCAAAGCCCTTTGCTGGATTTTTTTTTTGGTGAGGTGGTGAGAAATTTTGTCTTCAAGCAAAGGTCATCGGACCAGACTTTTGGCTTTAGTGACGGTGGAGGCTATAATTTTTCCTGCTGGCAGCATGAGGACCGCTGGAGAAAATTATAAAGGAGACATTGTGCCTCACTGGTGCATAGGCTGAGACCAAGGAAATAGATTGAATGGAAAGTGACGCTTCTCCTACTTAGAGTGAGAGGTGTTTGCCCAAATGAGGGCAAAACAACTTTCAGGGCCAAGGAGAATCATCAGGGCAATGAATCAATGGTGCTGGAATTTTTAACCAGGGCCATAGAATGTTTTCATGCATCTTCATGCTAAAAATCAGCCCTATGTTAATGTTTTACATAGAAACGTCCTTCAACAGGTTGAGTAGAATCACTTAGCAATCTCATGAGCGCTTAAATGGTAACCTCTGGATTCTGAGCTGGCCTGGACACAGCTGGACTGGACCAGGTTGGGTTGGGCAGGCCCTGCCTGCAAGGGACTGAACGAAAGGGACTCAAGTAGCTGTTCTCTGGAGAGCCAGGGTGCCCGAGCAGAGTGGCCTGAAGAACTATTGCCATGACAACTGCAGCTGAACCTCAAAGGGCTGCAGGGAGCAGCACAGAGAGCCTGGCCTGGCCTGTTGCCTCTCGACATGGGCACTGGCATGGAGCCCAAGTGTAGACGGGCAACAATGCAGCCCCAGACACAGGCTCTGCGAGAGGACTGCCCTCCTGAACAAACAGCAGTCCTGTGCATCCTTACCCCCCAGCCCCCCTGCGATTTCAGTGGCAGCTCTCACCACAGAGAGAACAAGGCCCAGAGTTTGCTTGTATCTGATTTATAAGCCAGAAAACAGATCTGGGGCCTACAGGACTTTTGAAGCGACTTTCACAATTGCTTCACAGCCCCCAGCCCCAGGATCAAATGACTTCCACACAGGCCAGACAAATTCTCATGCCAAGAGGTGCAAAGGATTTTTTTCAAAGGCTGCCAGCCATTGCTGGAGGCCTCTTCGAGGTGCCAAGGAGTAGAAAATTGCCCTCTTTCCTCATGGAACACTGCTTTTCCTCCCATTACCAATTCAGTGTTAATCCTAGCTTTCCGACAATGAAATTGAAGCCATGAGGACGTCGTGCCCTCACTGCAGTGGCTCCGATGATGCTATATACCCTGTCTCTTATACACATCTAGATGTGTATAAGAGACAGGGGCCTTATTAAGCAAGAAGAGTGACCAAAACAGCAACACATCTCGAGTCTCTTGTCTCCTCAGCTGCCTCAAACATCTTCATGAGGGCATTGGTACAATCCTATCATCCGTATTGAACAGATAGAAACATAAATGCCAAGATCTCAGGCCACGTTGTTGGGAAGTCCAGGTCAGAGACCAATAGCCTACCTTCCGGTTCCCAGCCCTCTCACCTTCCCCATCTCTCCTCCCTTGTACCCATGAATCACCAGGAACTTGGTCTAAGTAATATCAAATATGCCAACTTTTCAAAACACCCAGAAGATAGGCAAGATTTTTCATTTTTTACTCCCATCTTACTCGCTAGGAAGCCATAGCCAGAAAAGAATAAGTATCCTAAGACTTTCTCTTCTGAAACTGAAATTTAAGTGTATATAAAAGTGTATTCACATATATGTGAAATTATTTATTTTATTTTATTTTATTTTATTTAAGACGGGGTCTTAAATAAAGACCTGTGTTGCCTAGGCCGGAGTGCAGTGGTGCCATCACAGCCTCACTGCAGCCTTGACTTCCTGCACTCAAGCAATTATCCGTCTTAGACTCCTGAGTAGCTGGTACTACAGGCACACACCTCTACCATGCCTGGCTAATTTTTAACATTTGTTTGCAGAGAAGACATCCCATTATGTTGCCCAGGCTGGTCTTAAACTCCTGGCTTCAAGTCATTTTCCTGCCTCGATCTCCCAGAGTGCTGGAATTATAGGTTTGAGCCTTTGTGCCCGACCTGAAATTTATTTTTAGTTTAAGTTCAGAATTAAAACATTTGTGGATTACATTACTATATTAATGATAGGTCTTAGATTCTGATAATCTGATCTCATTATCACAGTCCTTCTTCTATAATTAGAGACTTTTTGAAACCAATGAGTAAAAATAATAGGAGTCTCTGAGTGATGGAGAATGAATACAGCTCAGGGGAAATACTGAGAAGGAACACATATTCTGGGGGTAGCTAAGGTGATTCCTGGGGCTGCAGTTTTGCTTCACATGATAGTGGCTCCGGTCTGGGCAGGGCAGGTCTGGGAGGGGCTGCAGGTCTTCCCTGAACATCTGGGAAACTTTAGGAGCAGAGGTGTTCCCAGGCTCCTCTCTGCTTCACAGTTTAATTGTTATATGTAATATTGTTTGGCTGTGTCCCCACCCAAGTCTCATCTTGAATTGTAGCTCCCATAATTCCCAAGTGTTGTGGGAGGGACCCGGTGAGAGACAATTGAATCATGGGGGCGGTCTCCTTCATACTCTTCTCATGGTAGTGAATAAGTCTCACGAGGTCTGATGGTTTTATAAGGAGAAACTCCTTTCACTTGGTTCTCATTCTCTCTCTTGCCTGTTGCCACATAAGACATTCCTTGCTCTTCCGCCATGATTGTGAGACCTCCCAAGCCATGTGGAAGCCCATTAAACCTCTTTCCTTTATAAATTAACCAGTCTTGGGTATGTCTTTATTAGCAGCCTGAGAACAGACTAATACAATATGTATTTTTCTGCATTACATGTTTCACTCTCACACAGAAAACAACTCCTCCATCTCCTTATTTCCAGAGCATTAGGTAGAGAAAAAAATAAACTGTATGCAGACATTGCTCTTTACATATTCAAAGTCTTGCCTCACAGATGCAACTGGATACAAGTCATTTTCCTGTTTATCTATAGGTAAAATTCTTCACTATCTCCTAAGCAGGACTAACAAAAAGAGGTGAGAAGGACATCTTACCATAAATGAAGAAATGAGCCCATGACCTTTCAGGGCTTCTGTTCAGCTTGTCGTAACTCAATCCCATTTTCCTGAATGGCTTGTTTAACTTTCGGAGAGTATCAGATGTACTGTGGTGAAAATAATATTTGAACAAGAGGGAGATTATTAAGTTGCCAACTAAAAAGGCATTTCAAAGACACCCCCATTACCCTGTTTAAATACCCCTGACATTAGTGCACTTGGAAACCTCTTCATATTAAGGAGTCATTTTAAAACAACACACATTGTTCTGCCAGAGATACCCAATTCCAGCTTGACATTTAGCACTTAAAGGAGTTTAGAGACTCCAGGCGGTCTTATCAACTCACAGACAGGGGCACTAAAAGTCAGATGGGCTGCTTTTGCCTGGAAACCACAAGCTAGAGCTCAAAATGAACCTAGGCTCCAGTTAAGTGCTTAAAGTATTAAGAGAATCTGAAAACAAAGTACACACCATTAGCCAAATTGGTGCCGGCTTTTGATGATCTGCAGTGTGTACTTGCGGCTTGGTCTTTGTCAAAAGTCTTTTAAAAGAGAGAGGAGGTGCTTCGCGTCCCAGCCATCCTGCTGTTCTGGCCTGTCGGCTGTACTTCGCTGCGCCGCCACTATGCCCTCTGTCCGCATCGCGCTCGCGCCCATCACGAACCCGCAGCAGCTGCAGCTCTCGCCGCTGAAGGGGCTAAGCCTGGTCGACAAGGAGAACACGCCGCCAGCCCTGAGCGGGGCGCGCGTCCTGGCCAGCAAGACCGCGAGGAGGATCTTCCAGGAGCCCGCGGAGCCGAAAACTAAAGCAGCTGCCCTCGGCGTGGAGGATGAACCGCTGCTGAGAGAAAACCCCCGCCGCTTTGTCATCTTCCCCATCGAGTACCACGATATCTGGCAGATGTATAAGAAGGCGGAGGCTTCCTTCTGGACCGCCGAGGAGGTGGACCTGTCCAAGGACATTCAGCACTGGGAATCCCTGAAGCCCGAGGAGAGATATTTTATATTCCATGTTCTGGCTTTCTTTGCAGCAAGCGATGGCATAGTAAATGAAAACTTGGTGGAGCGATTTAGCCAAGAAGTTCAGATTACAGAAGCCCGCTGTTTCTATGGCTTCCAAATTGCCATGGAAAACATACATTCTGAAATGTATAGTCTTCTTATTGACACTTACCTAAAAGATCCCAAAGAAAGGGAATTTCTCTTCAATGCCATTGAAACGATGCCTTGTGTCAAGAAGAAGGCAGATTGGGCCTTGCGCTGGATTGGGGACAAAGAGGCTACCTATGGTGAACGTGTCGTAGCCTTTGCTGCAGTGGAAGGCATCTTCTTTTCCGGTTCTTTTGCATCGATATTCTGGCTCAAGAAACGAGGACTGATGCCTGGCCTCACATTTTCCAGTGAACTTATCAGCAGAGATGAGGGTTTACACTGTGATTTTGCTTGCCTGATGTTCAAACACCTGGTACACAAACCATCAGAGGAGAGAGTAAGAGAAA